CTAGTACAAGTCCTATCTATCTATACCATGTCGCTAATAGTACACAAGTCGTCACATCAATCCCGAGTCCATCCCATGTATTTCTCCTAATCCAAACGAGTATTACCCAAGAATTCAGACCAGATGGAATACGTTCAAGTCCGGACACGTGCAGCATCCGTTTCAGTCTGCTCCGTACCGAGAGGCATGAATCCCCATCCGGCGCTCTTCTTGCGACGGCCTTTACGGTCACCGTACTGCTCATCGAACTTCCTGATCGCCGACAGCGAGGACATATCTTCGCTGATCGACGCGCTGATCTCTTCCATTCCGCGCTCAAAGTGCGCCCGAGTCAATATGCGACGCGCTGGATATTGGTACGGCTCGGGGCCTTGATGTTTGGCCGCCAGGTCGTTCTCTTCTCGAACGCAGGCCAGAGCGGCCGCAACGCAGAGATTCTTCAGATCAGAGCCGGAATAAAGAGGAGTTCGATGAGCCAGTTCAGCTAGATCGACCGACTGATCGAGCGTCTCGTCCTTCAGGTGGATCTTCAAAATGGCCAACCGATCCTGCTCCGTGGGGAGGTCCACAAGAAGTCTCCTTGGGAGACGGCGAAGAACGGCGTCGTCGAGATCGAATGGTCGGTTGGTGGCAACCATGATAAATGCAGACATGTCGTTCATTCCGTCCCACTCTCGGAGAAACTGATTGATGAGCTCCCGATGCGAGGTCCGACTACTGGCTCCCGTTCGGGAACAGAAAATGGCATCTGCCTCGTCGATAAAGACCACACACGGGCTGAGTTTCTTCGCCAGAGTGAAAATGGCCTTGACGTTCTTCTCGCCCTCGCCAACGTACATATCGTACACCTCGGAACCGCTGACCTCCAGAACAGTCGCACCACTCTCCCGAGCAACGGCTTTTGCAAGCAGGGTTTTACCGGTACCTGGCGGGCCGTAGAGCAACAATCCTGGAATTTTGTCCGTAGCCAACACCCCATATGTGAAAGCCTCTGGCCGGATGAGGGACAGCGAAGTCAGCGTCTTCAGAGCATCGATGGTCTCTGGTGGGACATGGACATCGGCAAATGTTGTCCGGATATTGTTGGCATCGACAACGCCATTCAGCAACTTCTTCTCGTGGGAGTTGCAGGTTTTACGCAAAGAGTTCAATAAACGCTCCCTATCGGTACCTGTCTCAAGTGTGGATTTTGGCGTCCTCTCTCGTAGCCAGTCATTCTTGGTTTGGTCCGTCTTGTGCATCATCTCAATACCACGCTGGATGTGTTCGAAGCCCAAAGGTTCGTTGGGGCCGACGCTTCCAAGGGCAAGTGTTGTCGCCCAATGGATCTGGCTGTAAGGCCAGTAGCGCTCATCTAAACCGGACTCTTTTACAACGGACGGAGATAGTGGCCAAGAACGATTTTCGAAAATGGCATCTTTGACTGCAGAGGCGCTCTCACTCAGTCGAGTACGAAGCATATCCTGCATGTGGCGAATGTTGATGTCCAGCGTACGTCTCTTGCGGTCCTCTGTAAAGGTCTTTTCCACCACTTTTGACTCCATTCCCGGTGTAATGACCAGCATTTGTGAGAAATGGTCGTCAAAGGCATTTTGCATGAGTCTCGCTGAGTCCGAATCGGGGCTGACTTCCTGCGCCGAGGTGCCAATGAACAGAACTCGAGTACCGGCCTTTCTCCGATCCATGATAGCTTTTTGCAATAGAGTAATAAACTTAGCACCTTCACGTGTCGCCTGGATTTCCCCATAGTCCTGCACCTGCACGATGAGGTCGCGAACGGCGGCAGCCTGAGCCTCCGACGGCGGTTCTGTCTCAGATACTGGCTTGGACCGCTTGCTGGGTGAGCTAATTAGCTCGTGAACAAGTCGAAGCCGCCTATCTTCGACTCGATCACTCGGGCTTTGTGCCGCCGCTGTACCATCCAGAGGCCCATTGAATGAGGTCATTAATGACTTGAGCCCAAGAATACTCGGCAATGGAATATCACCGTTATTACTCGCGCTCGAGATTGTGATAAATTTCGCTCCCTTTAAGCCGGGTCGGAAATTCCTCGGCGGCACCGGAGCGTCGATAAAGTCAGTGTCGTCTGCTTCACTCTCGTTGAGGTTGTCTCCCAAATCCTGCCACGATTCAGCAATAGACGGCCGGTAGACCTCGTAGCCTAGCGACCTGATAGGCGACGTCGCCCCGCTATCCGCCATGTCTTGCTCACTGCATAGCTGAGCAATGTCCTGAGCATCCAGGGTCACAACATCGGCGCCTAGCTCCTGGGCTAATCCTTTCACCACCGCATCCAAGAATAAGATGCCATCCGCACCCGGGTATTGTAGAACGAGGTGCGATTTTTGCGCCGAAGGTTCTTGCGCGTATTTGGGTGGTGGGAGTCGTAAGCCTGCTTTTGCAGACGCGCATAGCTCTTCCCATAGCGCTTCGCGTAGGACATACCGATGGCCTGTGTCGCTTTGTGTCTGAGATGGTAACGGGTCGCCTCCATCACCACCCTGGGACTGGACATGCGCTTCCGCGTTCTTTTCCTCCGTTTCTAACCGACGTATCTCAACCTGTTGTCGGGCCTGCGCAACTGTCTGTCCTTCAATACCATGCAGAACAGTATTTCGTTCACGGAACCACTGCGGGACAGTTGCTACCGGAGCTATGAGATCTTTGCCTTGTCTCCGGTTCCTTAACGCCCTCCGTACACCTGACCCATAGGGACCCGGATCTTTCTTCACCACTCGTTCCGTTGGTGTCGCCGGACTTGTCGAGGCAGCATCTTCGGACGGGGTATGTTCCGAGTTCAGTGCGGGAATATCGTGAGCGACGCTTTCCGGAGGCGAGTTGCGAGAGTCGCTGGGATCAGACGGTGCGCTCGACAGCCATTTTGGCGTCAGATGAAGGCGACGCGCAGGCGAGGCGAGAGTCGGGGGGTAGCGGCGATGGGCGACGAAGCGGCAGGGTCGGGCGAGGGACGTAAGTAGCCTGCCCTGTACCATTGACGAATACATCCGGGGCAAGTGCTGCCACCGGAACTAGGGTATGAGGTTATGCTGAGTTGCGAATCGCAAACGTCTGCATCAACCAAGTCGTGAGCAAAGAACGTTTGTCTCAGTTGCTCCGATGCTGATCCTTTTTTGCCGACGGAGAGTGTAGTCACGTGATATCACTTGTACAGGTTTTGTTTGATGGCTGACAAAGATGAGCAAGCTGAACAACGCTTTGCGGCTTGGATTTTTAGATATTTTGTGGGTTTGCAGGAAATATGTGAAATATGCATAGCAACTCAATTGGCCTACAGTCCAGGATCACATGTACAACCTTGGTTGAGCATTTTCAGAGCTACAAGGATGATCTACAGAGTGAAAATCAAGGGTAATAATGGGCTGACGTATTATCGACACTACCTTACATGGTTTTCATGGGTTGTGACCGTACATCGGCGAGAAGCGGAAGATGTATAGGATATACTATTACTAGATCCAACAATGAAACTGAAGTCAAGAATGACATTGATGACTATATAGAGGGTGTTCTATGTGACGGCAAGGTAATTGAATCCAGGTGGACAATGTAACAGTATGGTTCGGCTCAATTCTTCGACATTCGATACCGGCACTACACTGATCCGAAGTTAGCAGATATTTCGGACTATATGGCATGCAAACACAGAGCAATTGAGATAGTTCTCAGACAAAATATACTGGCAAGTAGCAGACCAACCGGGAAAGGGAGGTCCGAAATGTCTCGTCAAGGGCGACTCGGAGAGTAAAGAAGTAAAAAAGGGTTTGTCATCTTCGAAGATGTATTTCATGATCACAATAGGAAGAAATGGAAATAGTAGACTGACCTTGTCAAATGTCCCATGAGGGGATCTTCAGAGGTGACCTGATCTGTTAGCAGTGGTATGACCATGCATCAGGATGTAGAACCAATGCATTGTGATTCAGCATCCTTCTGCACACCATTACAATGACCCAAGCATTTCTACATGGATCATCCAATCTTCATATTCAGAGATCGAGAAGTTGAGAGATTTATTGTCGACAGCGTTGAGAAGATGAAACGGAAGAATCTTTCTGTGGGAGAGAAGAAGGCAGAATAAAAAGAAAAGAAACAGCGGGAACAAGCAACAACCTTTTTCCGACAGTCACGTGCTACCTACCCCATACGGACTAGCGGCCTCTCTGATTCGCGCTGGCCGACGGTCGCCGTCCAGCAAAAACGAAAAGCCTCAAAGGGACGGGGGACTCGAGTGTCTGTCTTTCTTCTGATTTTTACCCTCTGGTCGTCCCCCCCCTAACCTTATCCACCTTGACTTGGGGGCAGCTTTTCTTTGAAAGTTGTACGTGGTTTGTATTGTTCGTGTTTTTCGATTTTATCCGATCAGTCAGTCCCCCAGCGTTTGTTTTCTGGATCAAGAAACGAGCGATCATCGAACCTGGCGATCGCGACGGGGTGCCCGTCTGCCTTTCTCTCGCTCTCACTCTCTCGTTGGCCCCTAGCCCCTCCACATCTCCGTCCGGCCTCCTAAACCCATCCCAATCGTTATTGTATTATCCTTTTTATTATCGCAACTCTGGTCTGGCCCTCGTTACTCGACAACTGACCCAATTTCGGGTTTCGATAATATAGGAGTCGAGTGGCCTGGTGGCTAGAGATTACCAGGGCCCTTTTGGATCAATCCATGCGCCAACGACGCTTGTCTAATTCTCAACGATAACGACGCAGGTTCGGTCGCCCGACTGCTGCGTCTTGGCCTCCGCCCCGACGCTAAAAGCGGCCTGTCGTTCCTCCACGTCAAAGAGCGCGCTCTTTTTGACTTCTGACAGACGTCCGCCCTTCAATCTAAATTGTCGATATTCTTACTTTATTATTTTATCCACCAGTCCTGTCCCATCCTCAGTGTCACCATCTCTCCCTTTCACCGATTTTAGGAGTCCCGATCTCGGCGACTTCGCTGCATAGCGATGATGATGGCGCAGCCATTTCCTGCCCATCAAGGCATGCCACAACATCCTGGCCTGCCGCCAGGTCATCCAATGGCCCCAGGACAACATCCTAACGCTCATCCTGGTGCCGGGATGGTGCAAGCGGTGCACCCGGGCGTTTCGGCGCCAGGAGGGCCTCAAGTCACTCAAGGAGGACAGATGATGGGAATGCCTCCAGGCGCTGGAACGACAGGCCCTGGTGGTCCTGTCCAGGCTCATGCACTTTCTCATCTGGGGCCTGCGCAGGCGCATCTGTTCCAACAACCGCAATTTGCTCAAACATGTACGTCCTTTGTTTCTTTGCTGAACATTTGTCAACCCGGAGGGGGTAAACTGTTCTTGCTGACTTGATTTCAAATAGTTGCCAATAACCCTCAATTGCTACAACAACACCAGCACCAACAACAGATCCTTCGACAGCGCATGATGTTTCAGCAGCAGCAAGCAGCTCAGCAACAGCAGCATGCAGGTCTCCCAGTGTCATTACCCAATGGCACTCAGGGTTTAAACGCTGCTCAATTAGCCGCCATGCAAGCGAATTCGGGAATGCGACCGGTAAATCTACAAATGCACCTTCAACAAATGCCTCATGGCCCTCAGAACATTCAGCAACAGCAGCAACAGCTCTTTGCTATGCAGCAGGCTCAACAAGCGCAACAAGCACACCAGGCGCAGCAAGCTCAACAAGCCCAGCAAGCCCAGCAAGCTCAACAAGCCGCCGCCGCCGCCGCCGCAGCAGCGGCGCAACCCGGTCAGCATACACCGCAGCAGCGTCATGCGGCACATCCCCAGAATATGCATGATGCTCAAAGTGTAACACCTCAGCCGCAACCTCCACCACATCAAGGAAGCAGCACGCCTCAGTCGAACCCTCCTCAACCTCACTCCAGTCAGCCTCAGCAGCAGCCAGGTGCTGCTCCCCAACCGCATCCGACACCAAACCCGGCCCCGCAACAGTTGCCGCAGGCTCAGCAACACGGCCAGCAGCCCCAACAGCAGCAGCAACCACTGCAACAGCAGCCCCAGCAACAACAATCACAACAGGGACAACCGCAAGGCCAGCAGCAACAAATGACTCCACAGGAGGCTCAAATGAAGGCCCAGCAGACTCAGAATCAAGCCGCCATGATGATGCAGCAGAGGATGAGCATGAAAGGCACTTCGATTCTGGCCTTGCTCACTTTTGCGGAGCATCTGAGTAACTTTAGCGTACGTCGTAATTTGTCGCAATATGCGAGTGCTGGTTAGAGATTGTGCTAACTTGACGACAGAGTCGCGGCGAAGCCCAGGATTTGCTGTATTGGCAAGCATTTGTCGATAAATTCTATTCTCCGGTTGGCGTTCTCCGACAAGGGGTGTACAATCCCCAAGCGGGTTCGAAACAATTCGAGATCTCGACGCCGGCCCTAGCACGGTATTATCTGACTCAATTTACGAGTGGAATCCGTCAGATTCAGATGCTGGTTGAAGGTGCGCGCGAGAGAGATTCGCCCAATGGTGGTCGCATTGTGGAGAGTCGCAGGACGTCGTTTATCTACTGGTTCACCAATGATTCTCAGGTTTGTTTTACTATTCGCCTTGGTTTTGGGGATACGTTTCTAACTTTTCGAAAGCTATTCACCAATGGGACACTTATCGCTCACTTCGATCACAATAACAAGATTGAGATGCTTGACATTGTTGTGATGAATCATACCGAGTATCTTCCACGGAGCCAGCTACAGGCGCTGGAGTTGTCAGAGCAGAGACAGAGCCCGAAAGTCTCCAAGAATATGGGCAAACGGGCTCAGCAGAAGCAGGCCCAGCAAGCCCCACCGTCTCTGCCAGAGTCTATGGTGACGGCAAATGGGGTGCCAACGGCGGTCATGAGTTTCTTAGAAGTGGCGGAGACCATCTCGCATATGCAGATGCTGTTCCAATTCTCCCAGCAAAACCCGCAATTTTCGCCTCCTGAAGCACTACGGAATCTGGTGAACACGCTGCAGAGCCAAAATCCCAATCCGGGGTTCATGCCCAGCCCCATGAATCCGGCAATGCAGCAAGGCCAGAATCTACGAGGACCCCAAATGAACGGACCCAATCAGTTCGCATCCCCAGCAATGGCTCATCTCGGGTTGCCCGCTCAAGGCTCTCCTCACCTCTCGGCCCACCCGAGTCCGGCCCAGAGCCATCTCGCCGGCCCTCCTGGCATGGTACAACAAGGGCAGATGCAGCCCAACGTTGGCCAGGCCACCAGTGCTAGTGCCAGCCCGCAAGTGACCAACAAGCGTCGACGGGCCAGTACCGTCAAGGTGGAGAACGACGATACTGGTGGTCCCGAAGTTAATGGAACTGCTCCCCAAGGTGCGGCCAAAGTTAAAGCCAGTCCTCGGGTCGGCGGGAAAAGACAGAAGGGTACTGCGTAATATTAGAGATGGGTTCCGTTTCCGCCTGGGTTCATTCATCTCCTTTCTTGTCCTTTTATTGATTCATTACCGTTCCATTTCAGTCTCAAGAAGCGGGGAACTGGCGTACCATAGGATACCTGTTTGAGGCTTTTCTTGCTCATCTTTTTTACGAATCTGGGTGCGTTTCGTTTTCATCTCGTCGCTTGAATATATCGGATGGTGCGCTTTTTTATTACATGTTGTTCGATTCCTTTTTTCCGCTCTTGCATCGCATGCGATTCCGCTAGCGACTACTCGGTACCGGTTGTCTTCATCACACCAGCGAGATGGATGGCACCATGTCCATCTCTTGTCCTGAGTCGCAAGTGGAATTCCCACGGCAATTTTTCACGTTGAATATGAGGCCTCCTGATACAAAGTGATATCAGCCTAATGTACTTTATCTACTTGGTCGTTTTTACATCTGAGGCTTTTGGCTTGGACTTGTTAAATCTGGACTTGGATCGCACATTCTATGAGCTTTTGCTTTCCTCGACGATTCCGAGGAATGATATCTTTTTTGGGTCTTTGAGCTCGATTCCCAAGCGTTGACAATAATTGACATTGAACGCTAGTCCGCTTGCTTCTGATATCCGTGCTATACAGTCCATCTTTTGATCTGGCGTCAGGTGCTTGCTCTGTTGAAGATTCGCTTCTCTGCTTCGTTTGCTTGCTATAGCTGTGTGACTCTAAAACGGGGATGCGAACGAATAGCCATTATCTTGCTTCTGACTTTGACTCAGACCGTGGCCCCGTAGCTTTTCTTACAGGGATCGACGGACTAGATTTGCGGGACCAATTTACTTATCGGTGATATGCGCCACGTTCTTTAAACATGTGCAGACAGACGGCGGTTTTTGCTAAGGCTTGCGAAGACTGAAATATATAATTCAGATACAAATTCGAGATGACTTTGGCACTATGAATCAAGCCTTATCAAGGCTTCAAACAAAGTAACATGTCTCATGTAATGTCATCGGAGTCGGCCGCCTTGGCCACGTACCCCCCATGCAGCTCTATCTGGGGCTGCCCCTCACCCTGGAGATAAGGAACCCCTCCATGGAGCCCACCACTTTTCTCGCCTTTCTGCATTGGAATTTCCCTTGCACACCACTTTTAACCAACAGAAAACACCATGTCGCACTCCCACTCCCACGATCACGGCGTGAGCCATTCTCACGATGACCCCTTCAACGGCCACGGCCACTCCCACGAGATCCTCGACGGGCCGGGCTCATACCTGCAGCGCGAGATGCCATTGATCGAAGGTCGCGACTGGAAGGACCGCGCCTTTACCATTGGTATTGGAGGGTGAGTTTATCTCACTTTACGTAGGCTTAGTCTACGCTATATACTAATGCCCCATTGCCATTCAGACCAGTCGGGTCCGGCAAGACCGCGCTCATGCTCGCGCTCTGCCATGCCCTGCGAGATCAGTATAATATTGCTGCTGTGACGAATGATATTTTCACCCGGTGAGTTTGAGTTGCTATTCCGCGGCTACTGCTATATGCAATACTAATTGGTGTTTAAACAACAGCGAAGACGCCGAGTTCCTCACGCGGCACAAAGCCCTCTCGCCTAGCCGCATCCGCGCCATCGAGACAGGCGGGTGCCCGCACGCCGCCGTCCGCGAGGACATCAGCGCGAACCTGCTCGCGCTGCAGACGCTCCAGAAACAGTTCCAGACGGATCTGCTGCTGATTGAGTCCGGCGGGGATAACCTCGCTGCGAACTACTCGCGGGAGCTGGCGGATTTCATCATCTATGTGATTGATGTCGCGGGGGGTGATAAGGTACCCCGTAAGGGCGGGCCGGGGATTACGGGCTCGGATCTGCTGGTTGTGAATAAGATTGATCTGGCGGAGGCGGTGGGGGCAGACCTGAAGGTTATGGAGAGGGATGCGGCGAAGATGAGGGAAGGGGGGCCGACGGTTTTTGCGGTGGTGAAGCATGGGAAGGGGGTGGATCATATTGTGAATTTGATTCTGAGTGCATGGAAGGCGAGCGGGGCGTATGAGGTTAGTTTGGAGAGGTGGAAGAATGGGGCGCCGAAGAATTCGGGGAGTGTGGATGAATAGCCTCGTTCTACGATTGAGCGGGATTCATATATGACCAGGATGCATCTTGTAAATGTACATTCAATGACTGATGACGAGGACTACAAACGACTGTCACTTTTGCCCCGTACCCAACCTTACCAACGCCCGGAAAATGCAGGAACAAGCTTTGAACCGATGGTCCATGAAACTGGGTATCTATCACCTCTCGAGGGAGATGAACAAGGAAGCAATCAACATGCAGCAAAACATCCAAGATTTGACGCAAATCAAATCCCCTTCTTGGCGAACCGCGCCAACGCAGGACCCAGGTCCTGCCGCTCGGCACGGAGCTTCTCCTTTTGCCGGGCAGCGTGCTCCTTGCGCAGCATCTCCGCCTTGACGCGCTTGTCGTCGATGACATTGCGCCGGCCCTTCTTGCGGAGGTACTTGCGCAGGGCGCTGTTGCGGCCGCGGCCGCGGTTCTTGAGCTTCTCGATGGGGTCCTCGGGCCGGCGGTCGAGATCCTTCTCCTCGCGGTTCTTCTGGTCGCGGATCGTGTCCAGCTTGCCGACGAAGTTGGCGTCCAAAGAGATCATCTCGGGCTGCAGCTTGTTGAGCAGCGCGCGCACCTCGGCCTCCTGGCGCTGTTTCGTGTTCTCGTACGGGTTGACCTCGAGCGCGTCGAAGTTGGGCTCTCCGGCGCCGGGGACCAGGATACTGGCGAATCCCTTGTCGTGCGCGACTCCCAGGATATCCTCGTATGGACACCAGCGCAGGTTCTCGATGCGGTGGCCGTCCCCGCCCCAGGCCATGTAGGGGCTCTTCACTTTGCCCTGGTCCGCCTGCGCAGCGTCAAAGAGGCCGCGCCACACGCTCACCTGCGTGCCCCAGCCGACTGCGGTCAGACCGCGGTCACTGATCGAGACCGATGCTCCGGGCTGGTAGCACGAATAGGAGTGCACCTCCCGGAACATACGGATATCCCACACGCACATCTTCTGGTCCTGGCCCGTCGACACCATGTACCGTCCTTGTCTGTCCACCGCTAACGAGCGAACGGGGCCGCGGTGCACGAGTGCTTTGACGAGGTTGGTTTGGGAGTTTGGAGACCACAGCGTAACCGTTCCATTCTGATGCCCGACGTGCATGATGGCGTTCCATGGGTTCTGGCAAAGTGATGTCGGGGCGCCGAGTCGTGTGGGCAGTTCTGCGACCATCTGGCCGGTCGATGTGTCGGTGTATTTGAGATGACCGCTCATTTGCTGTGAAGACATGTGTTAGCAGTTTCAGCAATTTCCAGGTGTTAGATCCAAAAGGTCAATCTTACAGCGCCAACGAGAAGGAAATGGTATGGGAGAAAATCGAGGAAGACGGGTTCGATATACTTGTTGAGACAGTGCAGCTCGACACCGGCGTGGTCGTAGATGTAGACGTGCTTCCTTTGCGCAACCGCAAAGTACTGATTGTTGTGCAGCCATCTAGCATCGCGAACTGTCTCTCCCAGTTGCAGCTCACAGCCCAATCTGCCATTCCGCCAGTCCATCGTCGCAACGTGCCCTTTCCGACCAGCCAAAAGCAGCTCCCGACCGTTCCTTGTGTAGTCCATCCGGTATGGGCCCAAATCTTCCAACTTCAACTCGAATCCCTTCTTTGCCGTCTCGATAGCGACATTGTCGCGGATCTCGTCCTGTCGCACCTTGTACGTCCGTTCCAGTTCCCCTTCAGGCTCCAGGAATCCCGCCTCATGCTCGAGCAGAATTTCCGCATCTTTTGCCTTGAGAGCGGCTTCCTTGAACTTTGCCTCCACAGCCTTCAGATTGCTGCGTAGCTTCCTATCCCTCACGCTCTGTACATTGATGGGCTTGCCCCGTCCGTAGGTTTTTTGCGCTTCGACTACCCGTTTGCTCTTTTCGCGCTTGCCGGTCGGCGCGACGGCCATCGTCGGTGCGGATTCAGACATTTGCTTCGATCCTCCACTATTTCAGGTAACCTAGAAAACTCAAAGGAATAACTGGCAGAAATTGAACTGAGCGAGAAGTATTGCTGTCTGAGAGATGATCGGAGGTAAGGTTATCTGCGGGTCTTGAAGGAAAATTCATGCCAAGATTTCACGCTCGCTTGCCCACCAACTTAAACTAATAATTTTTTTCTCTGGCAGAAAAGACCCGCTCTCCGAGATCTTGTCTATCGTCCAACGGCTTATCGTGCTAGATAGAGTCTTTTGAGATTTTCGTCAGGGCTCTCTTTTGAACAAAATAATACTCTGTCTATTTCTATAGCAAACTGGACTCTCTTCCTTTTCGTTTCAAAGGGTCCAGCGGTGCCAACATGGCGCCCACCCAGACGGTGCATCATCACCGCTCAACTACCAAAACATCCCACAAGCCCTATAAGTCCAAGCATGCTTCAAAGAGTGCTCTGAAGGACATCAACAAGGGTATGATTGCATTAGACCGCGTTTAATATTACTGCTCTGGAACGACTCTAATTGCGATGTCTGATCAGGCAAGGTCGAGCGGGGTACTCGCAAAACCCCTCACCAGCAACTCATGTCGAAGCTCGATCGTCGAAACCAGGCTCGTCAAAAGCAGCAGCTCAAGCATCAGGAAAAGACACAGGCCAACAGTATCTTCACCGGAGCGAACGGTGCCCCCCGCCATGTTGCCGTTGTGCCGCTTTCCGTCGATGTCGACGTCGCTGCAATCCTCCGGTCTCTGAATGAAAGTGTGGATGTTTCGGCTGATGTCTCCGCGGACACGATCTCTCGTGTGCGCATTGATCGCTTCAGACAGAGCCTGCAGTATATTCCCGCTAAGTATGACCTGATGGGCGCTTTGGATGTGTGCCGCATGGCGGATTTCGTCGTGCTGGCGTTGTCCTCGGAGGTGGAGGTAGAGGAGCAGGGGGAACAGCTACTGAGATCGATTGAGGGCCAGG